TTCGAAATTTCATTTCATTTCTAAGAACAGTCGACACTTTTCGGGTCACCGAAGGTAACGGGAATATTTTTAGTCCCAACGGAATCATGGAAACTGATCGAAATGTATATTTACGTCATAAAAATACCGGAGAAATTAACTATTTACGAAGTTAACGCAAAGCGCATCGAAAAGAACCACGTAAAAACGAGGGTGGGTATATTTTATCGACTCGCTTCGCATCGGGTTCGAGAATTCCGATAAACTCGTTAGAAAATCACGGTGTTACGTTTTCCTGGCGCGTTCGTCGGATTTTCATCGGAGATTTCAGCGGGCACGGGGAAAATTAAAAAATTTCTAACCCGTCCCGTCGTTATACGATCTGCGGGGAACGTAACAAAAATGGCGTATATATACGTGTCTCGACGAACAGTTCGCTCTTTCGCGGAACACCAGCTGCGCTTTATCTTTACGACGCGGTCTATGCGTGTCGTTTTCCACCTTTCGCCAAGTTTTTCCTCTCCAACGCGATAGACGCATTGCTCGAACGACTCTCTTTCGCGTATCAGCGATACCAGCGTGCAGCGATAAATGTTGCTTCCTCCTAGCGATCCAGGAAAGAATATTCCACCGTTAGACACAGAAATCGCGGCGAGTTGATTCGCGAACATGTAAAACGTTTTATTAACGCTTCGCGGAGCGGTTTTCCTCTTCCTTTTTTTTTTTGTCGGAGTCGAGCGAACGCTGGAAACGCGTTTCGTTACGACCGTTTCGAACGCCGCGAACTGCCAATGAAGTCTTTCAATCGTTCGCCACAAAAGCCATTCCCAAACTCTTTCTTTTTTATATTGTCGGTGTCGTTTGCAGTCGTTTATCGCTTCTTTAGAGTTATTTCCTCGCGATTGCAATTTCAGTTTTCAGTCGAAAGTTTCACACGTTTTCGAACGAATTATACGAAAGCTGGGAACGAATCTTGGAAATCTTTAGTATCGGACACTTTACTTTATTTAATTAGTTGTTCATGGATGATTGTTTTACTCTGGTTTCAAACGCAGAATCTTGTCTGAAATAATAAATCCGATATTATTCTTTCAATCGAACAACAAAGGTGTCTGTCTTCTCTGGTTCTGGCTCCCTTTTTATCATTAAGAAGCACAAATATTCGAGGTGAACATAGTAATCGGATCACCCTGTGCACCGAAAGTAACGTTGAGGTGGAATAATTATACCTCGCGGCGGCGACAAGTTATGTTTTCTCATAAAAACAGGCTCCGGAAGCGAAAGAAGTAATCGCGGATGTGTAAGTAGGAAACACGAGCGTGAAATATATTCTGCGATTAAATGACACGTTTGCAAATAACAGGCATAAGGTGGTCGATATTTCAGCCGGGGCCGTCATCTTCCTCGGGGAAACGTCTGATCAATTACACGGTTCATTCTACTTGCGAGTGATTGCAGGTTCTACCCTTGCCTCTAATATATGACCAATTACACTCTCTCTCGCTCTCTCCGCCTGCACCTTTTGTTACCGCAATATGATTGAACTACGAACTGTGTAGTGTTACACTCTAATTTCTTGGCAAGGAATTTCGTATCACTTTATCAGAAAATTATACCGGGAGTAAGATGAATACGAGAGAGCTCAACCCGTTAATTTTTACCGTTTAATTGCCCGTTGATTGAATTTCGTACCGAAGCTTGGTCGAACGCTGCGACAATTAAATGCTATTTAAAGATGATTTTAATTCAATCATTGTTTGTGTTATGGTAGACTGTAAATGCACGAATTCGCAACGACTTACGAAATTTTCAAAATTTCTATACGTCATGCACAAGTTAAACTTGGAGTTTGCAAATCATTCCATAGTTGCTAATTGTAATAGTTATGCAACATTATTGGCCAACAATTTGAAATAAATATTTTAAACTATGTTACACAGGTATCTGTATTTTCCACGTCTGATTTCTGTTGCTTCGGAGCAGAAATTGTGACCATCGAGAATCTCCCTCGAAACAAGTATTAATTAAAATGTCTCGCAGCAAAATGGACGCGATTAAAATATGCTCTCTGTTAAATTCCTGCCTTTCAATTCGCGTTTCGTTTTCGACGGTGATCGAAACCCGATTATATAATTTGTTTAAATAGCCGACGATAAAGCGGAGCGTGGAGGGTTAAACATTTCAAATAACAGTATTAACTGTTCTTAATGGTGCAGTACGGTGTATTTTTAACGGTGGCTATAAAATAAAAGGAGATAAAAATAAAGCAGGATTCAGGGTATTAACAATGAGGCGGGACCGTCAATTTCGTTTTCACATTCACGCAAACGCGTTGTAAAAGTTTCATGGGCCGGGGGCTCGTGCCATCCAACACTCTTTAGGGGATTTAAGCAGTGATCGATGAAATCGTTGCATTTCGCGGCAATTCGCTGCAGCCTCGCCAGTGGTTACGAACGACCGCACGCGTCACTCGTTCGGACACGTTGGACCGTAGCGAAACGCGAGCAAGCATGGCCACAATTAATTTGCAATTGATTATACGGGCTGCGTTTTAACGTCACGTAACAAGCAATTCGTATCAGCCGCTGGTCATATTTCCGCATTATACTTCGTCGTCAAAATATTCAAGAAAATTACGTAGGTCCTAGCGAAACGCAAATTAATACGAAATCGTCCAGAAAACAGAATATTCTGTCCACCATTTTAAACGTGGTACCTTAAATTTCACATTCGCAATCAGCTACCTTCAACCCTCCCTCCAAATATTGATTTTCGTTTATAGGTTATTACTTCATATACAGGGTGTTCGGCCACCTCTAGCAAAAATTTTAATGAGCGATAGTAGAGGCCAAAATAAGACGAAAATCAAGAATACTAATTTGTTGATGGAAGCTTCGTTAAAAAGTTATTAACAATTAAATTCAAAAATTTCAAATCGTTCTGGAAAAATTATTTTCGGTTGCGGGGGTCAACTACAATCATTTTTGGTGAGTACACATACCTCCGAAATCCTATCTACTTTCGAGAAAAAAAATCGAGTAGGTGCTGAAATTTTTCGGTGAAAAACAATTTTTCAAATCGTTCTAAAAAAATTATTTTCGGTTGCGGGGATCAATTACAATCATTTTTTATCATTACACATACCTCCGAAATTGTACGCACTTTCGAGAAAAAAATTCCTTACTGAAAATCCAATTAGGTGCCTAAATTTTTCAACGGAGAAAAAAAATTGCAAATCGTTGTGGAAAAATTATTTTCGGTTGCGGGGGTCAATTACAATCAGTTTTTGTCATTAGACATACCCACGAAATCCTGCCTACTTTCGAGAAAAAAAATAGAGAATGTGTGAAATTATTCGAGAAAATTAAAAAATTGCAAATCGTTGTGGAAAAATTATTTTCGGTTGTAGGGTTCAATTACAGTCATTTTTGGTGAATAGACATACCCCCGAAATCTTGCGCATTTTCGAGAAAAAAATTCAGTAAGGGCGGCACTTTAAACGTTAATAACTTTTTAACGAAGCTTCCATCAACAAATTGGTATTCTTGATTTTCGTCTTATTTTGGCCACTGCTATCGCTCATTAAAACTTTTGCTAGAGGTGGCCGAACACCCTGTATATTGTTGACTGGAAACAATGCGTGAATGTGTTGTTAATAATATTATATTATTCTACTACTGTTCTCTACAGTAACTTGTTATATCATTCCATCTCTTTTAACGCGTTATCTGTCGAATCGGTTTCGTGAATTCTTTCCTAAGAATCGTTTTCGTATTTCCATATTTATATTTTTAATCTAGCGCGTTGATTTTTACCCAAGTTGGCTAAAAGATTTTGCATAAGCTATGCGTACAACGATATTGGATTTTCACGTGGCGTTATTCGTGTGTAAAAGTTAAATCATTATATCAATAACCATTATATTTATATACTTCATTTACAAATTGTCGATATATCGTCAAATCGTTCAGGATACCCATTCGTTGGACAATTCTACGTCGATCCGCGTTTGTGAAATAAAAATATACGATGAAATTTGATCATTTCACATTAAAACGAGCATTGTTCGAAATAATATCTCGAATTTTGCTGAAATTGAAATATATTATATTTAGCGGCATTTAAACGTTGCATGATTTCTCAGTTATGGAAATTATACCAGTGAATACAAACGAAAATAAAAATAATAGGCCGCTTAATTGGACAGGCAGCGAGGGTAGCAATATCGAATATAATATTTAAAAAGAGTTTAATCTCCACCTAATACGTCGTCAGCCTATATTGTTCTGTTCTAATATTTCATCCATTTAATCCCAGATTTAACTCTGTTATTAAATCGAATATATTCTGGGTTAATTTTCAACCTAGGAACGACATATTTTTATCCATCGTGAATAGCATCGCGAATAGTAACGCGACAGCCACATTATTTTTCGACACGGACATATTACATTTTCCTCAATGTCAAACTACTTGAAAAAATGTCAGTTGTCAATTTATTCGATAGAATATGTCATGTCAAGTGATGCACAAATTTTTTTTACTAAATTGTATAACATATTGTTGGGTTAATGAAATTGAATACTTTAAACACACAAAGTAAACTTATTTATTAAACTTGAAAAAATGATTTAATGGAACATGTCATTGCAGAATAAACGATACGTACTACTTAGCACAAGAAAAACTCTCTATTCTTTTTGGGGTATACTCAGCGTCATCTTCGGAGTATGCAGGGGAAATCGTGATTGAAATTCCAACACATATGATAACTTTTTGTTTATTGCTTCGACAAAGACAATCAGCTATAAGACGTATTATAACAAATGCCTGCAGTATATAACTTTTTAAAAGTCAGAGATACTCTTTCGTGCTTACATGCATAATTTAATATACTCCTGAAAACACATAAATAACGATCAAGAATATTCTTACAACTGTAAACTATTTCCTAAGTAAAAAAACTAAATTTTACTGATATTTAGAATCGAGGCTAACGAGCGAAATTCATGGTGTTTCAGATGTCCTGACAGCGGGCCCCGGGCCACCAGGATGCCGACAGACGACGACTATGGCCGAAGAGAACGTCTCCTACTGCACCAACACCCGATCACTCAGTACGGGTCCTCGTCATCTCCGGTTCCAGGAACAAACGCCGGCACATCCGGAAGCGTTGGCTCCCAGATCGGTTCCAACAATTCGTCGGACTGTTATAAGCAGCAACAACAACAAACGGATCTACGAGTCAGCTCGAATGTCTCGAACGCTTCTAGCCAAGATCGTTACCAATCTGACCAACAAAGCGAAGGAAACGAGCACGTCGATTATGGAGGCCGGGAACGAATGTCGGGCATCGATCGTTACGACAAGTCGACGGACAAACCGTCGATCGACGATTTCCCCAAGTCCTGCGCGGAAACGCGTTCGATACAGTCGAGCTGCGAGCGATTCGGCCACTACCAGAACCAGGAGAGATTCGGTCAGTCCTCCCTGCAGGTGCATCATCAGTACACGGCAGGTAGATCGACCGCGCCTGGACAAACGTTATCGCAAAACGTTCTGGTCGAGTGTTTTCCGCGGTTCAACGAGCTCGGCGGCCTCCATGGCGATCAGAGACTGTCTCTGGCCCCCAGCGAGCGCTTTCAGCAGGCCGCGAACACCGTCAACGAGCTGGTGTCCGCAGGAAACGAGTATGCGAACACCAACATCCTGGTGTCAGGCTGCGCGACGAGTCCTTTCTCGTCAGAGACGTTCCCCTCTCCACCATCGCCGGCGCCAGCGAACGATCGCTTCGTGCCACCACCGCCTCTGTCGCCCAGCCCAAGCGAAAAGTATGCCTCGACCCAGAGTCTGGCTGGTTATCCTGCTGCTGATAGGATTCTGCCCCCAGGTTCTCCAAGCACCAGATACGGCGGGAGTACCGCGCCAGCCTCACCGATGCCAGCTAAGGAACGATTCACCTCGGCGGAACGATTACTGGCCAATCAGCAGTCGTCGAACGCCATGCACGAGTCCAAGGATCAGCAACGATACACTGGGGCCAGCGACCGGCTGTTGTCCGGCTCGTCGCCGGTGCTGGGAAGCCTTCAGGTCAATCTACAAGGCGACAGGAGCAGCGTATACACCACTGGCAAGGATTCCACTGGCTCGCGATACGGCGCCATATCCACGGACAGACTGCTCTCTTCATCGCCTATACACGCCCCGGTGCCAGAGAGGTTCGCGAGCAAATCGACGGACAGGTATCTCGGAGAATCGTCGGTCTACGAACGATACCATCGGCAGGAAACGACACCGATCGTTCATCACGATCGTTACTCGACGATATCATCGAGCACCGAGAGATTCCTCTCGAACTCACCGAATCCCGAGACCTCTCATCAACGATACTCGTCGACGGAGAGGTCTCTGCAAGTATCGTCCAACATCAATGAACAGAGACGCTTGTACACCGATCGCGGCGTCGAGACGGTTTGCCAAAAGTATACGGACAGATCCAACGGATCGCCGGCGCCCACGGATTTCAACAGATACTCCAGCTTCCAGGAAGTTGGGAACGGTCAGTCCAGATACGTCGCCACCAGCGACCGTTTCAACGACTCCGCGATACAACGGTGCGGCCAGTCGCGATCCAACGACAGATTCTGTGTGTCCAACGATCGCTACTTGGCCACCTCGTCGCCAGGACACGACGGGAAACTCGCGACCACCGACGCGACCAGGTACGCCGTATCAGGATCCTCCACCGAACGGCTGCTCTCTACGACATCCTCCTCGTCCTCCTCCTCCACCGATACCGTCGCTCGGTACCACTCGTCCTACGCGAACACAACGGCCACGCAGTCGTCGACATCCAACGACCGTTTCACCTCCATCTCGCCGACCCCCGAGACGGCGAGCAACAGCCTCAGATCGGGATCAGGAGCCGCGGGAGGAATGGGCGGCTCCAGTTATCAAAGTACGAAAAAAACCGCCGTGGACAAGTACCTCCAGGTGTCCAAGTCTGTGCAAAGCTATGGCACCGACCGCTACACCGTGGGTAATCCCAGCGATCAGTTCGACAGACTCAGTCAGGACCGTTACGACAGATTCTCGACCTCGGTCACCGGTACCACCGACCGATTCGCTCCATCTACCGTCTCTTCTGATCGTTTTCATTCCACTCCTGATCGATACTCTCCAGCGCGTACCGCGGACAAGTACCTGTCTCTACCTAAGCCGAAAGATCGATACACCGGTCGCATAACGCCGATCTCCTCGTGCGGGACTTCCGTAGCCGTCACGTCCTCCGATCGAACCTACAGCTCGTCCAGCGCGACCGGAAGCTACGTTCCGCCGACCGCGCACACACCTGTCGAACGTTACGTGCCTCAACCACCGCCAGAGGTTCTCTATCCGGATAGATACGTCGACAGGTACGTACCACCTTCGGCGCACACGCCCACGGATCGTTACGTACCCACAAACGATCCCGGTGACCCGTACATGAGGCGAGACCTCGGATTCCATCATCATTATCGGCTACCACCACCTGCTGGCTACCCGTACCATCAGTCGCATTTCCGACTTCGTGGTTTCGCGTACGCGTCCCCCGGTCGTTTGGGCGGCAGTCCTGGTTCCAGTAGCTCCAGCAGCTCCGCGTCTAATCAGAGGGACGGTTTCTCCATGTCGCCGTTGCTCAGACCCAAGGTGCGTGCTTCTGCGGTCGAGTTCCCGACTACGTCCACCAGTGTCGTTCGCCACGTGTGCACTAATCCGCCATCGTGCTGTAACGAGGTTTCCGGGAGCGGCCGGACGTGTTGCCAGGCCATCAGGAGGTCCTTGCCGCCGGGGGCGCTGCCCTCCATACCTACGCAGACTTCATGGTGAGTCTTTTTCAACGCAAAATTTATTATAGTAAAATTCCGATTATCCAACATATGAAGTGATAAAAACGAGAAATATAATCACAGACAATTTTTCTGGAGCTCTAGAGCTCCATTACCATTTTCGCGTCACTCGTAATATTACCAACAAGTTACAGAAATTAACACAAGAGGAAGCAAGACTGAAAATAAAATTTTAGTAGAATATTTATGGTCGGATATTACATTTTCGGTAAGGAATTTTTTTCTCGAAAATGGTTTTGATTTCGTGCGTATGTCTATTGACCAAAAATAATTGTAATTGACCCCTGCAATCGAAAATAATTTTTCCAGAGTGATTTGAAACTTTTTAATTTCGCCCAGACATTTAGGCACCTACCCGTCGATTTTTCTTAAAAATTCGTTTCTGATTTTTAATAAATTTGTTTGACGCGTTACAGAAAAGTTGTTTAGTACTTTTTTTGTAGATACCCATGGGCTCTACTTCCCTCCAAAATTTCATTGAAATATATTTACTATTATAGGAGTTATGGTCGTTTGAAAATTGGACCATTTTTATGGAGTTTTTCTAACTTTACTGGGTCAACGGACAACTTGTCCAATATTTTCAGAATTTCTACATATGCTTCATACAAATACGCGTTGTTTGCATTTTGAAACATTAAAATCGACCAATCCGTTCAGAAGTTATGGTGTCTTAAACATTTGCATAATATTTCGGAGACTCATTTCAAGCTAGACATGATATTTTCAGTAATGAATTTTTTTCTCGAAAACACGTAGGAATTTGGGGGTATATCTATTGACCAAAAATTATTGTAATTAACCCCTGCAGCCAAAAATAATTTTTTGAGAACGATATTACAAAATTTTTTTGCTGAAAAATTTCAGCACCTATTAAATGGATTTTTGATTTTGGTTTTCAATTTGTTTGACATTTTACACAAATGTTGTTTAGTACTTTCTTGTAGGGATCCATGAGCTCTATTTCTGAAGTAAATTTCAATGAGATCCATTGATTATTGTAGGTGTTATAGGCGTTTGGAAATTGGACCATTTTTATGGGGGGTTTCTAACTTTACCGCGTTAGCGAACGACTTTTCCAATATTTTTAGAATTGCTACATATTCTCTATTAAAATACGCATTATTTGCCTTTTGAAACATTAAAATCCTCCAATTCGTTCAGAAGTTATGATGTTTTAAAGATTCACATGGAATTTCAGGGAAACATATCAATGTATGGTCAGACATTATATTTTCAGTAATGAATTTTTTTCTCGAAACTGAGTAGGATTTCGGGGGTGTGTCTATTGGCAAAAAATGATTGCATTGGACACCCGCAATCAAAAATAATTTTTTCATAACGATTCAAAAGTTTTGTTTTCCGAAAAATTTAGGCACCTACCCCGTGTTGATTTTTGTTTTAAATTTGTTTGTGATTTTTAATAAACGCAGCCATAGATAATGTAGTAATACAATTTATTAATCAAAAATAACGTATATAACATTCCTAGGCTTTATTTGTCAACTGTTTAGTATCAACGTCACTGCTGGATGCATGCGATTGTGCCTTTTTTGTTTGTGTGTAGTATATTCCATAACATGTACCGAAAAATAGTAGGGGTAAATATACTGGATAATCGGAATTCTACTGTATTTAATAATAGAAGTTGATAGCATTTTGGTCTTAGTACATCATTTACCTTTTATATATTATGCTTATAATCAAGTAGAAACTACAAACGTTGATCGTATTAAGCATTTTTAACACGTTGACTGCCAATCCAAACCTTTAGAATTGTTTACGAAACCAAAACTTTGATTTTAGACAATTATAAACTACATAACTTAAAATTAGTCTCAGTACTTATAACCTCGCTAAAATTCATGAGTCCCATTCAAATTTATTTACTTTAACGTTTCAATTTGAAAATTATGTTAGTCCTGCCACCCATATGTGGATGGCGTGGCAGTCGCAGCATTAATCGTTAACCGCAATAATACTGATCGTTCAATCGTTGAAGACTAAGCGTGTATACATTTGTTCTGTGTTTCTGAAAACGTTCGAGGAGCTTTGAATGATTCAAAAATATTTTCCCTAATCGAAAATTATAAACCCGGAACGCAGTGTCTGGGTAAATTCGGGGAAGATGGGGAACGATTCCAGAGCAGAAGAAATTAGTTGCCGCAGAACTAGAAGTTAGCGTGCAGATAAAAGGAGTTGCATGCGCCTGGAGCTCAGCCGTGTAGCTTGGGATTAAGTAATACAGGGGATCCGGATTACGCGTCCCCGCAATTATACGCCTTTATAATAAAGTTCACAAATTAGAATGGCGGAGTCTTAATTGCAGGATGAGTATTATTTACAGCCGAACAGAAGGGACTTTTCACGAGGGGTTTAGGTGGGAGTAACGTGTCCGAAACGTTCGCACGGTCGCGACTGGATTTCAGTTTTCTTCGATATTAAATCTCGTCGAGTGAGATTACATTCGCGCAGCGTGCGGTTCAACTTTCCACTCGGTACACCGAAGTATGTTATGCGTGAATTTATGGCGCCCTTAATATTCCGATACTGACCACGCGCAAAATATGTTTGATCGTTAACGTGGAAGAGCGCGCCATATTGGTGTTCCGCTGAAATTGATTAAATTTGGAATTCGACGTTAAATTGAGATTTATCAGCCTTCCGGTGAAAATTTCATTCCGGAAAGTTTTTATTCGGTGCTCGTTTGATACTGGCGGCTGCTAAATTTAATAAATTAAAGAAGTTGACTCAGCACGTTCGACGTACATACTTCGTACGCGTTGAAACCGTCGGCTCATTCGAGGAAACTAATCACTCGAATATGAGTTCCGTATAAAATTTCTGAAATTAATAATTTACTTGCTATGAAGAATCAAAGAAGTTGAGTCTTGTTTTCCAGGCGACATATAATTGGGACACGGATTAGTGTTCTAGAGTTCGTAACAGTAGCTGGAATTCGCGAACTGTTTGATGACGCTTTGTTTCACGGTTGATGATCACTATTTAAAGCGTTACATAAAAATGAACTGGAATGTAGGCCGTGTCCACATTTAGCAGTCGCGCGGAAGCTGCGAGTGCAGAAAGGGCCGTTACTTTCGTCGCAGTAATCAGGTTAATGGAGTATCGTGGCCCACTTTATTTTTTCATCTTCATCGAGTCTCGCGTATCTCCGTAACTTCGCAGTGTCCCTTTCCCGCGTTTCAAAGTCAATGATGCATTTCTACCACCCAAAGCTCTCGCTTGCCTATGCGCTTCAGAACCTTGGAGATTTTTTTTAGAAACATTGTCTCTGGTATGCGTGCGAAATTTACTTCGACCTGGAAAAAAATTTAGCCCTTCCCTCTTTAACTCGCGTTACGGTTTCACTTTGAACCGTATCACGGTTTTCTATTTAATTCGTTTAACGCAACAGGGGCCTTCGAACCCGTGGCACGCGAAATGTTTCGATTCGCACGCGATCGAATTCGAAACAAAATGAATTTCAAATTTAATATCTTTTTGTTCGTGTATTTTAGTCTCGGGAAGAAATCTTACTAACTTCTCGGTACTAAAATATAAAAATTTCTAACATTGAAACTTGATGTAAATTATGATACAAGAATTTTGTATATTAAGCGACTTACACTATGGTCATCGTCAAAGTATTATGTATACGCGCAAAGCTGTTGGGGATGTCTAAGAGCAGCGTGACAGAATTTTGCGAGAAAAATTGCACGCTTTTCTATTTACTCCCAAACTAACCCTTTTGAAGGTTGGGGAAACGTCACAATCGGCTTGACCAGCACAAAGCTTTCGGCAAACTCGTACGGAAAGCTCGCGAAGGGGTGGAGTCGATATCCCAAAGCAAACTGAACACTCAGCGGAAATACCTTGCCGACGTAATCTCTTCGACCCTTTCAAACCCGAAAGGTATCGTCGCCCTTCCGTGTCTTAGTTTTCGGCTGTCGGTGCCATCGCGTTTTCCGCTTTCGACACCCCCTGTCTTCCGACGTGAAAATTTGCTGACTAAACGTCTACGTTTTGGTCAAACAACCGCCGACTAACTGGGAATCGTCGCTAACGAGACTCGATTTGCAACGATGTTTCGCGTTTCAAACAACTGCTTTCAAAAAGTATCGAAACTTGTTCGTTCCAATCCTCCGTTAGATGCGTTGAATATTTAGGATGGTGTAACACCGATTGCACGTGTATCAGACACGCGTTTGGTACAGGTAATTGAATTAGTTACACGATATTAAATTGGCTGGCAATAGTCCGACTAATTGCGGCCAAGGCGGTCAATCTTGGACATTACAACCCCAAGGGGATTCAATCAACAATTCAGTTAGCTAGAAACCTATTTGTACATGGTATTGCCGCAGGTGCTATCAACAATTTGAATGTTTATGTTAAAAAAATAGTGGAATATAGTTTAACGGAATTATATGTATTTTGTAATTAGTGGTAGAAATGTTTCCATTGCATTTAAAGAATATATTTGGAACGTTAATATTCTAAAGTAACGATAAGAAAGGTATAGTCTATCTAGTTCTTAATAAACTTGATGCGAAAATGAATTAGATATCTAGAATGACATTTTTTTATACGAGCTTTTTTCTTGAGAAAATAACATCTATAAGATTTAAGTAGAATAGCCAAACGTGGCTGACCATTACACGTGATTTCTACTTGAAATCTACATAATAGCCAACTCCAATAACTCTTTTTAATAGAATCATTCAATCATACTCAAACACAAACGTACTCCATCACTTTTCAAAACCTATTTTTTCGAAAACCCAGTTTCGCGCGAAAACATGTTTTTTCTTCAAATATTCATGTTATTTTTTTACGAAGGATTCTTCGTTTTTTTATTGAACTACAGTTTCCACTTTGTTCTGTACTCCATACCGGCTTTATTGTCCAAAATACAAAATATTGTTTGGATGTTAAAGATACTTTATTACGCCATGGTATACAATTCTTTTTGATTT